AGTATCTACGATGTCTTTAAGTTATGGTAATAGTAATGTGTTGCAATATTATGTCGGTTACTTGTGTGTTTTATGATAGTTAGAAAACTAGCATAACAATGAAAATCTTCGTTTTTTTTCTAGTCGAGGTTGCTCCATTACCACTTCAGATGTTATGCCGCTCAGTGATTCGAAACGATCTTAGAAAGAAAATCAAGGAGGAACACATTTCCGTTAACATTCCTTCTCACACCAAAGTTCCGGAGGATGGGCAAATATTCAGCGGCATTTTGAATTTGTTTGTTCGTGAGTCGGATAATGATCAGCAACCCGGAGGTAAGGAATAATATTTTTTGGTAGCCAAAAATATGAAATAGGATGAAACGTTCCAATTTCTAATCTTTGGAGGTTCACACTTTTTATTTCAGTTATAACTGCTAAAAGTAGAAACATTTTACCTACAAAATTGATAGTAAATTAATAACCGCTAACACTTAAACACACTTAATCTGTGGGAGATTATATTTGTGTAACTTATATTCTAACAATTTCACCTATAATAACTATATTAAATATAAACGTCATGCATTGAAAAAAATTGTATCTTGAGCGAGATATAGAAAACAGTTCTGAGAAGAACACAATCATTACGTTAATCTAAATTGAGAGCTTAGTAACAGGTTAAGTTGCAGGCACTGGAATAATAATTAATTTTTTCTGTAGTTATTGTTGAAAAGGACTTACTTTAATAGAATTTCGACATTTTGAAAACTATTAATACAAAGTGTTAAAAAAATAATTTTTAAAATACAGTTAAGAAAACCGCCGAAAATAATTTTTTCCAAATGAAAATCTCAATTTTTGATAATTTCATCTTATTCAGTATTAAAAATAAAGGCAAGTTTGTGTAAGGTTGTCTATTCCAAAAGTGTTTAGTTTTCGAAATATTGTTAATTTACTGTTTTCATATGGCTATTTTGCCGCGTCTTGTTTTAAATCCTGTCACTCTCAGTTGTCAGGACGCAAGTGCCCATTTGGGCTTAACAGCACCATTTTTATATGATAATAAATTATAATTATATGATGTAATTTCAGCAGGCGAAAGGAATATGTTTATCGGTGATGACATGCGACGTGGGCGACAAATAACTATGTACAACAGACGTTTAGGAACAGCAGAGCATCCGAGTTCAGGTATTTATCATTATAAATTGAAGCATTTAATCTATGTATTAAACCACTCTATTCTGATATGTGTCATATTTTTTAGAAACAGAAATAAGCAGATCAAATCCGAGTTTGCATGATGAAGGATTTGGAACAATTGAGAGGCTCAGTATGGAGACTGATGAACAAGACACTGAATATTATAGCCATAGGTATGTATTACTTTAAATCAATTAGTCTTGAGTATTTTCACTTAACCAACTCATCGTTTGGTCATAACAAGTAGAGTTGATCAAGAAATCACTACCTGTTATTTTTTCACAGCGATTAATTCATCGCAGTTACAATCTGTGAAAAATAAACGTAACGTAAAAATAACCTGTGATCTAGAGGTGATTGACCCAAACGTGATATTAAAGAGCGACTTATATTTTCACATGTCGCCCGGCGAAAGAACAAACCCAAATAACATTATTTTGTTCGTTAATGAAAGCTTGCATTCACGGGTTCCCATGAGCCTAGATTTTATTGATATTTTTGGGAACCTATTTCAATATGCATGTATTTTTAAAATAATTTTCTGGGAGTACGCTTAGGCCAGTATGTTTATGCCAGATCTTGGGAACTTTGCCCGATATTGTAGAGGTGGATAGCCGAGCTTGCTACCGGCGACGCGAAAGCAACGGGTTTTTGATGCAAAGCTGTTCTTTGTTAGGCGGAAACGCTGACTATGCTCCCATAGAATGAGCATGCGCAATTTTGCTAGTTCGGTGGCCCGGACCATTACCATCGCAATAGTAAAAGCAAGCATTCGCAGCATCAGGTTTTACGCTCACTGTTCAGTCAATGTGTAGATTAACCTGATCTAAGTCTAAGTATGTCTAACTTTTACGAATTAAGGAATAATGAATCGGAATGATGGAGGTACGCGCATGCGGCACATGAAAATTACAGAAACATGAACGAACTGTTGGACCTGGTGGAAGAGCAAGTTCAGTTATGGGACAAAATATCGCTGCTCATATTTCAAATGCAATTTTCGGATATCTTTTGCCAAATACGGAGCAAGCAATTCATGTAAACCAAAAAACTGACTTCGTCATTCTTGTGTATTTAATTAAGATGCTCTTCATCCCACTCACTATTTACCACACCTTTTATTAAGGTGGCAATATAAAACCTTCTGAGGCTCTTTTCCGATTCATGGGGGCGATCACCAAAACGCCTACACCTACTACCCCTGTTAAGCTTCAAACCTGCACTAAGTAGGGTAAATAATACTCCACCCAGACCGAGTGTAATCATTTGTTGATTATTCAAGAACATTGCAATAAATTTAAATTAGAAAGGCAAACAGATCAGTAAAACAAAATATTAACAATATTTTAGCTTATATCACAGCGACACATGACATTCGTAAAAATTAAGGATTAAGAAACTGGGTAATCGGTCCTTAAAAAGGCTAAGCTGCCTGACGATGACTGTTAAGCAGGTCCTTTGACTCATTCTTGTGTGCGTGCTACTAGACTTCTGCGCATATATAATAATAATAATAATACGTTTTTATTTTGCACATTCACACATATTCAATATATGATACGAATATACTGAACACAAGTGGCAAAGTTTAGTCGATGGCCACTCTTCCACTTAACCACCTGTGCTTCACACTGTACCAAACAAGATAACTGCTAATTAACAATCACTACAATATCTATAGACATATATAACATTAACCATCAATTAAAAATTACCTCTTTTGTTCGAGTTTCAATTTAAGTATACTATATTCTCTGAAGGGAAACTTTACTGAATTTATTGAAATCAACAATATCACAATGCAATGTGTGAAACTTCTCTGAAACAGAGAAGTTCTACGGAAAAAAATGAAATAAAAAATAAACCATAAACAGATAGGAATCAATCAAAACACAAGAAGATTACATACTCGATACATATTCAATATCTTATACTCGATAAACCTCAAATACCTATTGTCTATGCAACAAATGCACCCTGTACCGAAGTTTTAAATATACCCAAAAGGTCACTCATTTAAATGCGGAGGCAACTCATTATATAGCTTAACACAACTATAAATAAAGCTCTTTTGAAAAAAGTCGTACGGTGATGCGGCATTGTTAAAATAATTTTTGTTCCTTAAAGGGCGATCATGTATAGCCCCTCTACAGGGTGTCCTACCGGGAACCGCCGCGATTGATATCTGGCAAACTATAATTAGGAGAAATTTCCAAATTGCACAGTGTGCCGAAGGCATTGACGGCAAGCGACCTAAAATATTTCCAAGATGGCTACACTTTCGGTTATACCGGAAGTAGGTATCAACTTGCTTATTTTAAATGGAACACCCTATATATTATTACATTTTTGAATTCTAATCCAAATTCTGGATTTATTTCGTGGTGTATAATATCCCATAGTCTAACCGTTTCAGATATATTTGAAATTATATGTAAAAAAAGAAAGTTGCAGTCACTCGAATAATTATTTATTTTTCCTACATGCGAATATGACTTACTTTAATGGAATTTCGACAGCATTTAGAAATCTATTAATGCAAAGTGTTAAAAAAATAAGTTTCAAAATGACGTTGAGAAAACCGCCAAAAATATTTTTTTTCAAATGGACACCCTCTTTTTTGATAATTTTATGTTTTTCAGTATTAAAAATAGGTGTAAGTTTGTGTAACGTTGTCTATTCCAAAAGTGTTAAGTTTTCGAAATCATGTCAATTTAATATTTTCATGTGACTATTTTACCGCATCTTAATTTAAATACTGTCACTCTTAATTTTCATGACAAAAGTGGCCATTTTTAATACAATCAAGTGCCAAAAGAATGCTTACAGCTGTTAGTTACCTTTTGAAAATAACTAATAATCAAACCTGGACGCTTAAATTCTACAAACGAAGATTATTTAAACTTATTTATTATCGTATTATGGGGAATGTGATACAATTATATTAAGAACCGTTTATTTATTATTAATTATTAAGGTTATCAATTATAATTATATGAACAACACAAACCTTTTTTTTCTTTAAATCTAAGGCTCTGTAATTTTTCTGGTGGCTCTTATAAATTGAATCTGCACTGTTATTTAGACGTATTCAAATTACTTGAAACTGTAATTTGATTAACAACACAGCGTGAAGGCTTCTGTTTTTGTGGATATTGAAAGGCAAATGTGTCACATGTTCTTGATTTAACTTTATCACATTCTCTAGAAATAATAAATAAGTTTAAATAATCTTCGTTTGTATAATTTAAGCGTCTGGGCTAAATATTAATTAGTTTCAAAGGTTAACTAACAGCTGTCAGCATTCCTTTGGCATTGGATTATATTAAAAATGGCCTCTTTTGTTATGACAACTGAGAGTGACAGTACTTAAAATAAGATGCTACGAAATAGCCATATGGAAACAATAAACTAACGATATTTCGAAAACTAAACGCTTTTAGAATAGAGAACTTTACACAAACTTACCCTTATTTTTAATACTTAATAAGATAAAATTATCAATATCAAAAATGGAGGTTTACCTTTTGTATTAATAGTTATCAAAATTTTGTCGAAATTCCATTAAAGTAGATCCTTTTCAATAATAAATGGGACTCAAATCAAGTAGACCATATTTACTTAAAGGAAAAATAAATAATTATTCGAGTGACTGCAACTATAATTTTTTACATAAAATTTAAATTATATCAAAAACGATTAGACTTATAGGTATTATAC